TTTAGGGTTCAGGGCTTTAGGGTTGTGGCGTTTAAGGTTGCAGAGGTTACTACTGGGGTTACCTTCGCAATTCTTTAACGGCTAAGCAGTTAAGCATCATGGTGATAAGCAGGGCTTGCAGTGACGAAGAGGGTGCTAGAACTGTGCCTCTGCCAGGGCTCTCGAGGCTTCAGGCTCCATGGCTGAAGCTGAACCTCCACCAGCACCTAACAGACTACAACACTAACAACAGCCACACCCGCCTCAACCAGAACGACAGCTACAGTTGCAACTGTAACTACAGCGGCAAGTACTGCTGCTGCTGCAGCAGCTAATGCTACTACGGCGACTACGACCACCACCACTACTTTCTCTATGCTGCTATGACTTCACATACACCCGCATCGCCGCTCCCACCACCTCTACCTCTGCCGTTCTTATGATCTTCGGCTCGGACCTGCAGGTTTTGGTGCCCCTTCAGCACGTAGGCCGGTTGGCCATCGCGGTTGCGAACCTCACAGGCAGCACACATCCTCAGGCTTTAGGGTTGAGGGTCTGGGTGGGGGCTTAGGGTGGCTATCCGAAAGCACCGTGTGGACTTCCCGGCATGGGAAGCTGGCCTCGTGCAGCAATAGCGGTCATGGCGGTAATAGCGGTAGGGTAGTGGTAGGGATGGTAGTGGTAGTGGCAACGGTAGTGATAACGGTAGTGGTAGTGGTAGTATAAACGTAGCCATAACGGTAGCAGGAGTAGTAGTCAAAGTTATGCTAGGAGTACTAACACAGAATGAGAGAGAGGGAGAGGGAGAGAGAGAGAGAGAGAGACCCTAGAGACAGATGCAGCAGCCTGCTCGGACTCCGTCTCGACGGCATCTGCAACTGCCTCCCGAGTTCGGGGCTTTGGGCTTAGGGGTCTAGGAGTTCCTATAGTTTTAAAGGAAACTACAGGTGGGGAGTTTAGGGTTTGTAAGGCTTCTGAAAGGCTTCTACAAGGTATATAGACCTTCTATAAGGCTCCTATAACGGTAACTACCCACCTGAAAATGTCCTAGATAGTTACCCTAAACCCTACACCCTACCTATCACAAGGCTTAGGCTTGCAGGGGTTAGTTTTGACTTTGCAAAGGTTGAGCTCTGTGGCGGGGGTTTGGGGTTTTAAGCCTCGCTCTGCTTCCGGAGTCATCCCTGAACATCCCAAACATCTGTAACTCTGCACGAGTGTGCTTCACCCCCATGCACCCTTGAGCAAGAAACTCCGAACCTTTCTGGAAAGAAAGAGACTGCACTCTCATGTTATACCAGACATACGAAAGGACCAATGAAAGCCGAGCCAATCGCCTGAGACTTAAGACTCGCAGAAAACGGAAATGTTATACCAGACATACGAAAGGACCAATGAAAGCCGAGCCAATCGCCTGAGACTTAAGACTCGCAGAAAACGGAATTTCCGTCAAAACCCTACACAGACGAACCAGCCCGCAACATCACAACAACACAAACCAAAAGCCCTAAACCACCACAAACCCAAACTTCCAAACTCCCATCAACCCTAAACCACCCCCAACCCACACCTTTGAACTCTAAGCCACGCTCAGGCTCAAACATCTGGGCCTTGGACCCTGAATGCACCCTGAAAAGCACCCCAAGGCCCCAAAACCCCGAAAACCTTGAACCCGCAAAACCTCCGAAATGCCAAGCCCTGCACTCCAGGCCCTTTCGACCGACCTGGTGCCACTCGGGCCGGTGGAAGCCCCGTGCCGTGGACGCCATGTTCAAGACATGGCATAGTTGCGTCGACACCTTCGGAGGCTTAGGGTTTAGGTCTGAGGATTCAGGGGCTCAGGGCTTCGGGGTGGTCTGGGCCTGAGGGATTAGAGCTCACATTTTAGAAGGTATGCACTTTCCGCGTTTCTGCCCGGATCTTCATTACCATCAGAGATCCTACCTTTCTTACTGAAAGGATTCGACAGAGTGGCGTTACATTGGAATAGGCTTACAATACAATAAGGACCTATAAGGAATAGTATCGTTAATTTTTGCGACACCTACATGAAGGTTTGGGTTTCGGGGCCACACGGTTGAGGGTGCTGGTCCGCTTGCAGATCTTTCAACTCCTGTCTTCGCTACACCAACCTGCAACAGGCAATACCCCAAGCTTCCCCTGGTTTTGGCGGTTATGGTGCAGGGTTTAGTGCTCCAGGCTTGGAGTTTGGAGTCTGGAGTAGTGCACGCGACACCAAGCCACTATGGAAAGGTACCGTAAAGCTGCAATCCCTGCTCCCAACAACCCTAAACCCGCGAAACCCTGAAAACCCTCCCCTCAACCTAAAATCCACACCCTCGGAACCCCCAAACTTAAAGTACTAAATCCCCAAACCCCCACAGAAGATCCTCCAACCCCAAAGCTAAAGCTAGCAGCTCGAAAGAAGCTACCAAGGGCGAGAGCTTCCAAGGTGGGATGAAGGCAGTGAGAGGATCCCAAAGAGGAGTTTCCGATAATTAGGGGTACTTTATTTTGGGGTCCTTATATTAAGGATCCTATTATTTAGGGTACTATATTAGGGTCCCCTATTTTCAGAAAACCCCATATCAGGAATCCAGAATGGTTCCTTCACCCCACCCTCTGAGGTCTCTGGTATGTATGACATAGGTCCTGTAACTAGAATAATGCATAAAAGCCCCATAACAACCCCCTATCGAACCCGGTAAGCCTTGGAAGGCACCTAAAGCCTAAACCCTAAACCCGAAACCCCCCCAAGCCCTAAATCCCAAACCCCTAAACCCTAAACCCGAAACCCCCAAGCCCTAAATCCCAAACGCCTAAGCTTTAAATCCTAAACCCCTAAACCCGAAACCCTAAACCCCTTAAACCCTAAATCCCAAACCCCTAAGCCCTGAATCCTAAACCCCTAAGCCCGAAACCCTAAACCCTAAACCCTAAACCCGAAACCCTTAACCCGAAACCCGAAACTCTAAATCCTAAACCCCTCCAAGCCCTAAATCCCAAACGCCTAAGCTTTAAATCCTAAACCCCTGAACCCTAAACCCGAAACCCAAGAAAACCGAAATCCCAAACCCCTAAGCCTTAAATCCTAAACCCCTAAACCCGAAACCCGAAACCCGAAACCCTAAACCCGAAACCGAACGAAGAGCCTTAAATCCTAAACCCCTAAACCCGAAACCCTAAACCCGAAACCCTAAACCCGAAACCCTAAACCCGAAACCGAAACCTAAAGCCCTAAACCCGAAACGGAAGAAAACCAAGCAGGGAAACCCTGTGAGCACCTCCTGCGGCCAAGCGGTGCGTGGGAAGCGCCGCTTCTCGGGCTTAAGGGCCTTAGAGATCGAAACGTTCAGGGTTTAGGGTTTAGGGTTTAGTAGGAGTTTAGGGTTTAGGGTTTAGGGTTTAGGGTTTAGGGTTTAGGGTTTAGGGTTTAGGTTTGGGATTTAGGGTCTAGGGTTTACGGTTCAGGGTTTAGAGATAGAAATTTCAAAATGTTTAGGCCTTCTTTAAGGGTTCTATAAGAGTTCTATCTTCGAGATCGACTTCTTTCAGGGTTCTATAAAGGTCTTTTCTTAGAGATCGAAATGCTTAGGGTGTTTTTTGGGGGTTCCATGTGGGGAGTTAGGAGGTTTTTTGAAGGGTTCTATAGGAGCTTAGGGAATTGCTCAAGGATTCTTTGAGGGTTCTATAAGTGGTGCTAGAAGGTTCTGTAGGGGTTTGGAGCTTCCGGGCTTGAGGGTTTAGAGATGTAAGGGTCGAGGGTTTAGGGTCCAGGGCCTAGAAACTTGAGGCTTTTAGGGCTAAGGATTTAGGGTATAGGGGTTTTAAGGGTTTGGGGTCTGAGGCTTTGCTGGGAATCCCTGCCACAAAATCCCGGCCCGACACCGTCCGTCAAAGTAGGAATGATCTATAAGCCGGTTTAGGGGTTTAGGGGTTTGGGGTTTAGGGTTTAGGGTTTAGGGTTTAGGGGTTTAGGGGTTTAGGGGTTTAGGGTTTAGGGTATCCAAGCCCCAACTGGCAATAGGATACACAAGTCAGGTTGACACTGTTGCGATCCCGAAAGAGTAAGCCCAAGCCGTAAACTCAAAATCCCGATCACCAAACCCAGAACTTCCCATCCTGAACCCTAAGCTCCAATCCCCAAACCTTCATACGGTTTAGGGTTTACGGTTTAGGGTTTAGGGTTGAGGGTTTAGGGTTTAGGGTTCAGGGTTCAGGGTTTAGGGCTTAGAATTTCGGGTTTAGGGTTAATTATTAGTCCAACCCTTGAACCCTACACGCCAGCCGTAGAATCCAAACCCGGAACCCCCCTAGCCCCTCTTGGTTTCGAACCCCAAAACCCAAACCCAATCCTTAAAATCAAAATCTGCTCCCAACCCTAAACCCTAAACCCTAAACCCTAAACCCTAAACCAAAACCCTAAACCCTAAACCTTAAACTCGAAACCAAACCTTTCGAAAATCCAACTTGGGGCCCCCGCCAGGCCAGCCCAGCAGTGGCCATCCTTTCACGGAAACACGGCGAAACATCTCACTTAGCCCGTTTAGGGTTTAGGGTTTAGGATAACTTAGCCCCGATAATGTACGCAGCTTTGGTAACTTACACACAAGAAACTATGGTAAATATTTTTGTAGATTGTTATATGATGTTCTGGTGTACTATCGTGTGTTAGAGTATGTTATGGTCTGAAGGATCTGCCAGGTTTCGGCTGCTTTCTGCAATCTGAGGCTTGGGGTTTTAGGATTTCGAGGGTTGTAGGAGGTCTTTGATTTGTTGCTGACGTCGTGTGGTTTTGGGATTTAGGGTTGGCTTCAGGGGTTTTATGGGGGTTGAGGGTGTAAGGTTTAGGGTTTAGAAACCCTAGACCCTAAACCTAAAGCCTAAACCCTAAACCCTGGCTTGGGAGTTACTACGACGAACAGAACAGTTGCACAGCCCTTGAAGCCCAGAACTTCGCAAGAGACTCTGCTTGAGCACACCGCCCTTTGAGGAGGCTATCTCCGCGTAACCCCGTCTTGGACCCGGCCTCGGGGATCCGTAGAGTTTAGGGGTTAGGGTTTAGGGTTTCGGGTTTAGGGTTTCGGGTTTAGGGTTTAGGGTTTAGGATTTAGGGTTTAGGGTTCAAGGTTCAGGGTTTAGGGTTCGGGGTTTAGGAGTTCAAGCTTAGGGTTTAGGAGTTTAGGAGTTCAGGTTTAGGGTTTATGGTTTTTGTTTAAGAATGGCCACTGCCAATCAGACGACACAGAAGAGGATCAGAGAGCAGCGGCGGAGGAAGTTGCTGTTGATGATATAGATCCTGCATTACCTTAAGCACCCTAAGCTCTGGGAACTATGGCATATTCCTTATTATGGGTCATGCAGAATTTAAGTCATCAACCATAGGAAAAGTAATGAAATAAAGGAATGGGCGGTGAAAAAAAAAAGCATGAAACCTGGGGAACCTGCAACCCTTCAGAACCTAACCTAGTGAATCCCAGAGCTTTCTAGATCCACGCCATGATACATGGAAAATATATGATGGTGAATTATAATAGGTTGTTAAGTTGTATATTATACCATAGTCTAGTATAGCAGGTTTTGGTATATACCATTGTACCTTATCGTATATTATGATGTATTACAGTATGTTGGAATTTTAGGGTTTCCGGTAACCCTGGAATCTTCGTTGCACGAACTGAGGACTTGGCTGACGGATGCCCGCAGCTGAAGCTTTCGCCCAACGCGCCCACCCTATCCAGCACCTGGGATTGGAGCTTTGGGTTTTGGGTTTTGGGTGAATCCGTAAAGCCTAAACTCAAGAACCTTTTTTCTTGTCTTCAACCGTGACACTGAATCTCCGGAAGATACACTCAAACCGCTATCGGCTGTTTTGCGGTATCGGTCTATCACGGTCGAAACTTTGAGCGGAAACAAGCGTAACCCACATCTGCAGCTTCCGTGGCTTAAGCCACGGTTAAATGGATCAAATGCAACCCCACCTGAAGAAAATTTGAGGCATCTTCATTCTAAAACCCTAAACCTAAACCCTAAACCCCAAACCCTCAATCCTAAACCCTAAACCATTTCTGCTGCTGCCCCCTTTTCTAGGCTTTTCTTGGCGTCCTATAAACAGTGAGGGTCCAGTGAGGGTGTAGGGCTTGGGGTTTAGGGCTGCCACTTAGGGGTTAGCGTTCAGGGCCTTTGAAGGTTTCCTAGACCCTAAACCCTAGACCCCAAACCCTAAACCCTAAACCCTAGACCCGAAACCCTAAACCCCAAACCCTAAACCCTGAACCCAAAGCCCTTTCCCTTCAAGGTACCGTGTCTTGTGCCAGCGCCGCTCGTAGGTCTTGGCCAGGTGGAGCCTCACAGAGTTTAAGGGTGTTTTTGTTTGTTTGTGTTGTTCTTTGTTCTGTTTTAGGTTTAAGGTTTTATGGCTCAGGGTTTAGAGTTTTGGGTTTGGGGTTTAGGGTTTAGGGTTTTGGGTTTAAGGGTCTGGGGTTTAAGGGTTTGGGCTTTAGGGTTCTTTTTTTGGTTTAGGGTTTTCAAGTTTAGGGTTTGGTTAGGGTTTAGGGCTTTGAAGGTTTCGGGTGTAAGGAGGATTCACAATCCTCCGACCGACACAACACTCCCAAGACTTTCGCCGACCCTTGTACCCCTAAATCCCTACATCTTAAACCCCTCTGTTTTAAATTCAAAACCAAACACCGGCCCTCCCTCGCCCCCGCCAAAAAACCGCTTAGAGGGAGCCTCGACCTCAGCGACGGCCGACACGATGGTCGCCAGGTACTCCGTGCGGTGCAGCAGATCCTCCAGGCGAATGCCTCTAAAACTATAAGACTATGGGCTCGGGGTTCAAGGTTTAACGGCTTAGGGTTTAGGGTTTAGGGCTTAAGGGCTTAAGCGTTTAGGGTTTAGGGATTAGGGTTTTGGGTTTATATATAGGGTTTAGGGTTTAGGCACGTAGAAGAGCGGTAGCAACAACCGCGATGGTCGTAGCCGTAGTCATAGCAGAAGTAGTAGCAATAGCAGCAGTAGCAGCAGAAGTGTTAGCAGCAGCAGGAGCAGCAGCAGAAGGAGAAGTAGTGGTAATTGGTAGTTATGGCCGTAGCATCACTGCGAAAAAGAGGAGGAGGTACCCTTCAGTCTGCGCACCTTGAAACCTGCCCTGCCCTGCCCTGCCCTCCCCTGCCCTGCCATGCCCTGCCCTCCCCTGCCCTGCCCTGCCCTGCCCTGCTCTGCCCTGTTTTGCCCTGCTGCCCTGCCCTGCCCTCTGCCCTGCCCTGCCCGCTCAAAGCACTTGAAAGCCTCGAAAAAAAATCGAATGATGTCGCTCGTTAAGGCTGGGCCCCTTGAGGGGTCAAAGCATGTAACTCTTGAAGGCTGGGCCCCTTGAGGGGTCAAAGCATGTCGCTCTTGAAGGCTGGGCCCCTTGAGGGGTCAAAGCATTTAGCTCTTGAAGGCTGGGCCCCTTGAGAAAAACATGTAGCTCTTGAAGCCTGGGCCACTGGAGGGGTCAGAACACTTAGCTTTTGAAGGCTGCGCCTCATGAGGAATGAGCACATGTAGCTTTTGAAGGCTGGGCCTCTCGAGGAGTCAAAACACGCAGTTTTTCATATCTGCGCCTCATGAAGAATGAACGCATGTAGCTCTTTGAGGCTAAGCCCTTTGAGGGATCAAATAATATCGCTCTTGAAGGTTGGGCCCCTTGAGGAGTCAAAGCATGTCCCGTTCAACCCCGACGGCTCTCCCGACCTTTGGGGCATCCAACACGGATGCCCCGGGACGGTCAGCCCCTCTTCCCGCACGGGAAGCGATTCTGCCGGGTGTCCCAAGCCGCGGCCCCCGTCGTAACAGGGAGGGTTGGCTACCCGGTTGTCGCGACCTTGGATTTTGGATCTTGGGTTTTGGATTTTGGATTTTGGGTTTTGGATGTTGGATTTTGGATTTTAGTGGGGGCCACATCTTGGGATAGGGTACCCCCCGAGATTTTAGTTGTTGGGGCCACATCTTGAGAAAGGGTCCCCCCCGAGATCGGCCACCAGCCCAATCT